TGAAGAGAACATGTCGATTAAGTTGTTTACACAACTTGTGGACATACATAAGAATGAATTTAAAAGATGGAATATAGAGAACATTATGCAAGATCAAAATTTGCAGAAGAGTAACAGAACCATAATGTGTGACCTTAACTTTGTGAGAATTGGGAAGTGTCACCATGATTGGATTTCCTAATGACTTAAAATTGGAAAGAAAATGCTTGTTAAAATTCATATGTTCAGATGCACCACTGTCCAATATCCAAGAATTGGTGTCTATTTTAACCAAAAATGCATAAGAATTGAAAAACCTTTTCATTCCAGCACAATTGGCACTCGTGGTAGCTTCGACATTGTTATCATTTTGCTATCCCATTTTGAATTGTTGAAGTAATTGCAAAAGTTCTCCTATGTTCTCCTGAGTTAGAGTTTTTCCATTTGAGAACCCATTACCCCCTTGATCAACCTCATCCACAACGTGGCAAGCATTGTTGGCCAGAGTTTGGAATTTCCTTTGCTTTGTGATCTTGAATTTGGAGGAAATCTATGAATCATGTAGCATTTGTCAATGCTATGATCTGGCTTTCTGCAATAGGCACATGTACTTGAATTCTTCTTTGATTCAACAGATCCCTTTGGTGGTTTGAAACTAGGATAGTTTCTATTTCCTCCTGATTGATTTGTTATGATAAAAGATGCAAAATCCTCTGGATAGACAGGAGGAGAAATATTGATTTCTCATTACTTTTCATCTTGGATAACCAAGGAATAAGCATGTCCAATAGAGGGTAAATGGGATGACAACAAAATATTTCTCCTAACACCAATAAAAGATTCATTCAGCCCCATCAGGAATTGTAACAACCTTTCATCTTGATGGGCTTTCAGAAGTTTTACCTTAGCACCACAGTCGCACATACAAATACAAACAGAAAACATGTTTAACGCATCTAGTTCATCCCATAGACTCTTCATTTTAGTGAAATAGTCTGATATACTAGAGTTACCTTGCACCACAACATTTAGTTCCTTTTGTAACTGGAACAATTTTGCACCATTCGTCTGACCAAATCTATCTTCTAGGTCGCCCTAGAGTTCTTTGGCACTTTGGGAGTAAAACACTGATTCAACTATCTCTTTAGATAAAAAGTTAAGAAGCCACGAAAGAACCATGTCATTGCAGCGTGACCATGACTTTTGAAGAACCAAATCTGCAATTGGAATCGCCAGTGAACCATCAGTGAACCCAAGTTTGTTTTTGGCAGAGAGCGCAATTATAACAGGCCTTCTCCATTCACCATAGTTTTTCCCATCAAATACTGTGGAAATGAGATTCATCCTTGGATAATTAGAGGGATGAATATAGTAGGTATGAGTTGAATCGATGACATTATTTCCAGCAGAAAGAGTGGCTGGAGTGCTTTCAATAATTGGATCAGAAGTAGAAGGCGTGGGTGCCATTGCCGAGAAGATGAAGAAAATAGAAAATGAAACAAGGATTTTAGACAAATTCTAAACTTGCTCTGATACCATGAAAAGATAGCAAGAAATTGATTTAGAGAAAATTATCTTTTCTGTATGTTTGACATCACTGTACAGATGTGTATAAATACAACTCACTAAATATGTGAACAACAAATTGCGTAAAGATAATGGAGAACGTGACTGACCAACTATAAAACGTGTCCTACTTTATCTAACAAGCTAAGTGTCCTACTTTGTTTAAAAAACTAAAAGATAATTACAAGGAATAAAATAAATATATATGACTAATCTTTCAGAAGCTTTTTTTTTCAGACAAGAAACACACCTAGCAAACCTCTGTCTTCTTCGTCATTACTGTTTCACCATTATTTACACCAACAAGATATCAGATACGTTTGTCCATGCTTGGCCTCTCTGTATATGACTAATATAGAATCTCACATATATGCTCAAATGCAAGATTCGTAAGATGATCAACTAGCATGTTACATAGCATTATCTTGCATGTGCAAAATGGACGAGATCAATGTCAATATGTTCCATGGAATTTACAAGATACCATCTAAAATCTTTTTTCAATTCGATTATGTTGTAGACAATGTGCAATTTCCTCATTCATAGCAGTCGCTTCAACCACCATCTGTCCAAGATTTGAAGACTTCGAGCAATAAAATAAGGTTGATTTCTAGCTGGATTTGAACTCTGATCTCGCATATGGTACATTTTCCTTGTACCAGTGGCATAAGGACATTCATGTACTTCTTATGAGGGCATTGTTAATCATATCTTAGTTTTTCCCAGTTTTTTAAGATATATATATATATATATATATATATATATATATATGATTTTTTTCGAAGTTAACAGGTGCATGTGGAGCCCACACATAGGTGCGCCTCTGATTTTAATGTCCTTGTGCATATTTTATGTATTTTTAATATTAAAATGTTATTTCGTAGGTTTTAGAAGATGGATTGACCTTTCTTAATTTGAAACTCTAGTCATTTCTTCAACGATATTTCTGTAGCAATTGTGGTTATGAATTTTCAGTTTATAATAGAGGTAGTATGGGATCTATATTCCAAGTAATCACTCATTTAATAATGCTGTCGATTAAAATTTACCTTTTGGAGCAAAAATTATTCTTAGATTTTAAATCTATAAAGATTTAAACTCTATGAATCACTTTTTGAAATTCTAGCAATTTTTCAATCCTTCTAATTCCAACATCGTTTATTGAAGTTATTCAATATTTTGTCCAAAACTTTTTCAATATCTATAGAGTAAAATAGTGAGTAATATTTTTTAATTAGCAAGCTTTAAAAATGAGAAGAAATGATTTTCTAACCCTTTTCGAATAATAATTGACTCCTCTTTGTTCACATATGTAAAGACTCAAGTCCTATGTACAATAATAACCACTTTTTAACTATATTAATAAGACTAAAGTTCAATGATAATTTTCAAAAGTAAATGTAACAATTAAAATGGTAAATGCCCCAAACAAATATATAGAAATATCGAAAGTAAGATTTTGGATTAATAGAAAAAAGAAGGGAGATGAGAAAATACAAGACGCTTCGGAAGGGAGATGAGGAGATCCAGACTTTCACACAACAATACGCATAACCTCTCTTTCTAACTTCTCTTCCTTTTAAAGTAATTGCTAATTGCGCTTGAATCCCAAATCAACCTTTCTGGCTCAATAATTGATTCTGTGATGTCAAAGTTCATGTCAGACTAGAATTGGTTCATAACAATACTTCCGTCCCCAATAAGACCTCAAGTAAGGGTGGGCATGGTATGATATATACCGATTTGTCATACCATATTGAAATTTTTAATACCGTGATTTTGATATTATGGTATTTGGTATACATTTTAATTTTTTTTTGGTATTCGATACGGTATATGATATTTAGGAATAATATATCAAAATAGTGAATACCATACCGAAGTATATGGTTACATAAATAACATATATATATATGTAATACTAACAAATTTGCAACCTAATATTAGTATAAACTAATGTATTTGACTTGTAATTGATTAACAAAATAATTTGTTTGTACTTTATTTTGCATATATATTTCTACATGTGTAATGTGTTAGTATGATACAATTGAGACTTTTTTTTAATTATTGAAGTCATAATACTCTGTTATACAAGTATATATTAGTCAAAGTTAAACAAATTATGGTTATAGATTTACCATACCGTAGAATACCGAAACCGAACTTTAATATACTGAACTATACCAAATTAAATTGGTATGATAATGATATAATATTTTAAAAACCAAATACCAAAATTACGATATCAAAACTTTCATACCGTACCGTACCGTATCATATCATACCCACCCCTGAAGGTTCAAGGCAACAACAATGACAAACAATATCACACTTCTCAACAATTATCTCAGATATTAATAGGATGTCATTGTACTCTAACAATTTCCTTGACGGCATTTCCGTAGCAATCGGAGTTAAAGAATTTTCAGTTTATAATGGGGTAAGTTATATGAGATCTATAGTCAGAGAGAAAAACACCCATTTGATTGAACACACTATCAATTAAAATTTACCTTTTATTAGTATATACTTTTGGGGGCAAAAATCATTCCTAGATTTTAAATTTATAAAGATTTAAACTCTATGAATCAATCTTTGAAATAGTAGCAATTTTTTAAACCAGTTGAATCATTCATTGGATTCCACACCCGTCAATCATTCTAATTTTAATACTCCCTCCGTCCCTATTTAGTTGTTCACTTTAGAAATGACACACATATTAAAGCAACAATAATTAGCATAGTGAAGTTACAATTTTGCCCTTATTAATTATGATTCCAAAATAAATTTATTCAAGATAACTAATCAATGTTGGGGTAAGTTTAAATTTTCAAGAAGTTTAAATGAGGGTAGAATAGGAAATTTTTTTTTGTCCTTTCTTGATTTGTCAAAATGGACAAGTAAATAGAGACATCTAAAAGAGGAAATATGGACAAGTAAATAGGGACGGAGGGAGTATCGTTTATTGAAGTTATTCTATATTTTGGTCCCAAAGCTTTTTCTCTATCTATTATTTATTGAGTAAAATAGTGAGTATTTTCTCCGTTCCATGCATAAATTTTTTATCAAACTTAAATTGTTTGACTCTCGAAAAATGAAAAGTATCACATAAATTGAGACATAAGGAGTAATATTTTTTAATTAGCGAGCGTAAAAAACGATTTTCTAGCCCTTTTTGGATGACTATTAACTCTCTTTGTCCACATATATACTGTTTTGGAGATGTCCTAGCTTTTGCCTTCGTAAGAAAGCAAAGATGAGTCGAGAGAAGTCTAGAATATGTTTAAATCAAAGAAACATGTAGATGATTTATTTTCTTACACGCGTGGCTCGACGAATCACGAACTTTCCACTGAACCCGTCCTTTCTCTTCCTTCAACGAATACGGGTCGGGTCGTAATTTCAATTGCAAATTATATAAAGGGGCAGTTCTTTTTACCCAAATTTCCTCACGCACAAGTAAACCTTACGAACGTACAATCGGTGTGAGAAATAGTTTGTTCAAGTTCAATAATTTTGAGAGATGTGGAACCAGGCTTACCGGAAAGATGACGTGGAGTCCGGCACTGCGCCGTTGTATCCGGCGATGTTGGAAAGTCCTGAACTCCGGTGGTCTTTTATTCGAAAAGTGTACTCGATTATTTCTATTCAGTTGCTTCTGACTATTGCGGTCGCCTCTGTCGTCGTCACCGTTCATCCGATTTCACACTTCTTTGCAGCAACAAATGCAGGCTTAGCACTTTATATTGTACTCATCATCACACCATTTATCAGTAAGTTAATGATTCTAATCGTGGATCTAATTAGGGTATTTTTCTTCTTGAGTGTTTTTTTAATTGATTGTGTTGTTGTTGCAGCGTTATGCCCGTTGTATTACTATCACCAGAAACATCCGGTTAACTACTTGCTTCTTGGACTGTTCACGGTTTCTCTTGCCTTTACTATCGGATTGACTTGCGCATTCACCAGCGGTAAGCATCTTCAGTTTGATTGTTTTCTATTGTTTTTCTGTTTTAGGATCGATGACATTGCGTGCGTTTTATGTCTTAGTGCATTTATCTTTACAATATTCTTCTCTTGTGGTGATGTGTTAATACAAATCTCCGTGATCAAGTATTATGGCGGTTAGTCTCATATAACTATTTGAAGTTGCCATTGTCAATTAGGGGTGTCGAAATTAATTTGTAAAACTAACCATAGATGAACAGACTGTTATATAGAAACGTTGAATCAAGTTCAATAAAATTGCTATATAGGTACTATACGAATACAAATATATTTCTACACACACATAGAGCTTAAAAATTTGAAGGTTTTTGGTGCCATACCTCTTTGAGTGCAGAGGTCACTATCAGAAAATGGTAAATATCCAACAGACATCAAAATTTGGCTCATCATAAGGAATTTTCGATGGGAAATCCATCAGAAACGTTATCGACGTGCCAAATTTTTGACAGATTCTATTAGAGAAGTTAGTGATTTTTGGTTAGAATCGTCTACGTTAGCCTAAACCTCCAATAGAGCAAACAGTTGGTTGGTTTTGATCAACTTTTAAAAAATGATATAATACTAACTGTGATAGCTTGACGCAAAACAAAGGTTTGACCCGACTTATAAATCACAGAATGAAAGAACACAGATGTTCCAGTTTCATTATTAAGAGATAATGGCATCACCCCAAGCATAACGGGGAGAGATGAACTTTTATGTTTCAAGGAAGAAGGAATGGTTAATTTTATTTATGAAGTCTTAAACATATATGAGACAAAAAGTCTAGAATCCATTAAAATAACAAAGAGACAAACAACAACTAATGAAGAATAGCTCGTCAAGAGGAAAAGAATAATGAACCACAGAGAATTGAAGCAGCAAAACATAAAGTTGCCAGTCTTTTGAACTCCCACCATTTGGGAGGAATTTTAAACCTCTGCCATGGGCGCCTTCGGAGTATTTGTCATTGCTGGTGGTACTTAACATATTTATGATATTTCTCAGATATATACAAGAAGTTTCAACCAAAGCTTGCAGGTGCCATGGCATCCCCTGGGGCCTTAGTAAATTCTCTCCTATGTAGAACTAGATATAGTCGTGACTTGTGATTTATAACACAAACTGCCTAGTATTAGTTCTTAGTTTTTAGAAGCTGGGTTTCATGAAGAACATGATATCACGACATGAACCAATAGTCTGAAATAATGTATATGATGATTGTCAGGTTGTTGCGTGTGTAGAAAATAATCAAGATACTACTAATACCATCTTGTCTTCTTTCTCAAAGATGGATATTCCCAAGTATAAGTAAATTTTGGTGACCTTCTTTAGTGAAGTTATTTTACATATGAAATGGAATGTTCAATGAACCAAGTTGATACCGTGGATAAATTGATACAATTGAGATTGCTTATTTAGAACATTCATCTTGATTGTACCCATGAAAGATTCTTTTGTATTTTGTTAAGGCAATTGAAAGATTGTTACAAGTTCATTTTCCAGATAATCAACCTGTCTATCAACTTATAATAGTACTTGATTACGTAAACTTCTGATTGTAATCAATGGTGAATGAGCTGTATCCGCTCTTCACTTGAAAGGATAACTCATCATTGAAATGAGTTCACTTATAATAGTACTGATTACATGAAATCTCTGCTCAATCTTAATGGATTTACAAACTGAATAAACATAGGTCCCCTTACAGATCTGAGAGGCCAATTGTTGTCACTTGCCAGTGCCGATGCGTATCATCTACTATTGCCCTGGAAAAATAACACATTCTTGCAAATAGTAATTGAAAACATATTAGTATGTAAGTGTTCTACTGGTGTTTTTCAGGCAAAGTAATTCTGGAGGCAGTCATACTGACTACAGCGGTGGTGATTAGTCTGACATTATACACCTTCTGGGCGGCTAAAAGAGGCCAAGATTTCAACTTCCTGGGACCTTTCTTGTTTGGTGCTCTTATTGTTCTTCTGTTGTTTTCCTTCATCCAGGTTTGTAAATTTATTATTTCTTATTCTGCACGTCAGGTTCATCTTTATCACTCTTTAATTTAACAAATAATCTGATTTCTTTCCTTGTTTATGGCAGATTCTTTTCCCTCTGGGTAAGATCTCAGTGATGATCTATGGCTGTCTTGCGTCAATCATATTCTGTGGATACATTGTCTATGATACAGACAATCTAATCAAGCGCTACACTTACGATGAGTACATCTGGGCTGCTATATCCTTGTATCTTGACGTTATCAATTTGTTCCTCGCTCTATTGTCCATCTTCAGGGCTGCGGACAGTTGAAGAGTTAAAAGAGAGGAATAGCTATACTAATTTCTCTCTTCACGTGTATGTGTATGCTGATCATTCGTTCTCTTTCCCTAGTTTCCCCCCTCTTTTGTTATGGATGGTTTGCTTATTGATAATTGTATAGACCGTTTTCTTAGTTAGAAAAACTAGAACTGTATCGATTTTGGCAAATGATTGGGTTTCCCTCTTCTATGAGTCCCATTCTCCTGTTCTGTTGTTTGAATGGTTGGTTGGAAAAGGTCCATAACTCAATAATCATACACGTCCACTGGTCAGGATCAATCACTCTGGTGGGGTTCGTTTTCGATCTATGCTCAATTTCTTACTAACCAAGTAATTATTTACTCAAACAAATGAGTGGTTCGTCTTTGACGTATGCCTAGTTTCTTACTAATCAAGTAATTATTTATTTGGTCAAACGAATGAGTGGCTCGTTATCCCCAATTTCTTATCAGCTAAGTAATTATTTGCCCAAACAATTGAGCGATTCGTCTTATTTATGTCAAATTTCTTACCAATCAAGTAATTACTTAGTCGAGTGAATTTTTTCGATTCTTGTTTTATGTCTAATTTTTTTACCAATCAAGTAATTAATCATCTAGTCAAATAAATGACTGGATTTTCTTCGATTTTTGCATTTAGCCAATTACTTACCAATTAAGTAATTATCTTAGTCAAATAAATGAGTGATCTTTCTTTATATGTACAATTTCTTACGTCTGTATAGTTAAAAAACACTTATTTTATATTACATGTTATGTATAATTTTCATTTAAGAGCATACGATTTTTTATAGCATTGGGCGAATTTTCATTCAAGAGCATAAGATTGTTTTAGTAATTGAGCTACTAAAAGAAAGGGGGTAATCTAAAAAACATCAATAAGTTGTAAATTGTAATGTTGATTAATTATAACGTGCCTAATTAAAAAAAAATACTAATCAGATTTTAAATTATTTTTTGTCCCTCACATTTCTCCTAGAAATTGAACACATTTTATGTGTCACCTCAACACCTAAAAAAGTATTTATTCTATTTTAAGATAATCACAAATTTTTATTTCTTTCTTCATATTATAAAATGAACCCACCTTTCGCTCCCTCTAAGGATTCAAATAGTTTAATTTAAATTTCAAAAACGAATTTGCTATTGAAAAGTAGATATTCTTCCTCTCTTTCTGACAATTTTTTTGTACTTCTTATTTTTTCCTCCAAAACTTAAATATTTATTTAAATTAAAATAAATAAAAACTTACTATAAAAAATATTTGGGATCTCAAAATTTCAAGGGCCTAAATCAATACTTGACCAACCTCCCCTGACAACCTCTGTTTTCCTTCTCATTTTCTAATTTCAATCAAGATAAGATAATAATGACAAAAACATTGAAGACGGTAAATGTGTTATTCATTACTCTCTCGGTTCACCAATAGTGATTCACTATTGACTTGACATAAAAATTAAGAAACAGTAAATAATATGAATAATTTTACCAAATTATATTTATTAAATATAAATCATTTAAACATTGAAAACTGAATATGAGTTAATAACAAGAATAAAATAAATATAAAAATAATAAACTACTTATTAATTTAATAAACTAGACAAGTATTTTTGAACGGTGGACAAATAGAGTTGGAAGGAGGAGAGTGCCAAATATGACCAAAAAAATCTTTATTTAAAGTAGGGAAAATGTATGAAAAAGATCAAAATATACCTTGAACTTTGCTAAAAGGATCATATATATTCTTACATGATTTTTTTAAAATTAAAAATTAAAAATATAGATTTAAAACTAACCTTTTCACTTCCGTTAAATGAATGACATATGTGAGCTCATTTTGTAACGGTAAAAGTATATGTGAGCCATTTGTATAACGGTAAGGGCATATAAGTGTCAATTTACGAAGGCATATCAGCTTCAAATGACAAAATTAAGGAGTATATCATGCCATTTTTCCTTTTTAAGTATTTGAGTAGAAATTAGAAAGTAAAAACACAGGAAACATAAAATAAAAATTAAAATTATATGCATAAAAGGAAAATCAGAAATTATGTACAATCTCTGACAAAAATATTAAAGACATATTTTGAAATTTTTATTACAATGAAAATTATTTTTGAAATTTTCATTACAACAATAAAATATTTTTGGGCCTTAAATATTAACCCTAGAGCCAAACAGAGCTATTTTGTGAAATAGAATAGAATAGAGAATGTCTGCAATCAGATCGAAGCAATATTATGCCACTAGCAGTCTCGTTGTTGGCTATGCCTTGTGTTCAAGCTTGCTTGCTGTGATCAACAAGTTCGCCATTACTAATTTCAACTATCCAGGTCTTCTCACTGCATTACAGTACCTAACTTCAACTTTAGGTGTTTGGATTTTGGGCAAATTTGGTTTCTTACATCATGATCCTTTTACAATTGAAAATGCTAAGAAATTCTTGCCTGCTGCATTTGTTTTTTACTTGGCAATCTTTACTAATACTAATCTGTTGCGTCATGCCAATGTGGATACGTTTATTGTGTTTAGATCGTGTACGCCTTTACTTGTTGCAGTTGCTGATACTGCTTTTAGGAAGCAGCCATGTCCGTCTAAGTTGACGTATTTAGCATTGGTTGTTATTTTGGGTGGTGCATTTGGGTATGTTGCTACGGATTCAGGGTTTAATTTGACGGCGTATTCATGGGCGTTGGCGTATTTGGTGACTATTACGACTGAGATGGTTTATATTAAGCATATGGTGACGAATCTAGGGTTGAATACTTGGGGTTTTGTGTTTTATAATAATTTGTTGTCGTTGATGATGGCGCCTTTGTTTTGGATTATTACTGGGGAGTATGTTGATGTGTTTATTGCGATGGGATCGAATGGAAAAGGGAATTTGTTTCATCCTGTTGCGTTTGTGGCGGTGGCGCTGTCGTGTGTGTTTGGATTGCTTATTAGTTTCTTTGGATTTGCTGCGAGGAAGGCGATATCTGCTACTGCTTTTACAGTAACTGGGGTTGTGAATAAGTTTTTGACTGTTGCGATTAATGTTCTTATTTGGGATAAGCATGCTAGTCCGTTTGGTTTAGGGTGTTTGTTGATGACTATTGCGGGAGGGGTTCTTTATCAGCAATCTGTAACTGGTGTTACTAGTGCTCCACCACAACGGGATTCAGCTGTCTCTAAACAGGACAATGGGAATGACCACGACAACTATGGAGATAGTGATGAAGAGAAGGGAATGTCTGGTAAGATTTCCGGTGTATAAGCATTTTGGCATCTTTGCCTATTGCTGAAGAGGCTATTGTTAATCCTTCCACTGTATTTTGAATCCTCTTCTCAACTATTGTTCTTTACAAACTTTTGCTAGATATTTGTAAGGTTGGGGTTGCTCCTTCCCTTAATAATAGATAGTAATGATTTGATTATGATTTGGTATATTTTTGCTCCTTTTCTTTCAGCATACTATTATGTTGTTTTCATACATGTATGTCTTGTTAACAGAGCTCTCACTGAAATGTATGCCTTTTGTTTTTCTGTAAGTAGATAACCTTTGCATCTTTGTTCTAACATGCTGTTACGACATGTCACACTGAGATGGGCTGAATTCTTAACTCAAAGAAAAGTGGATAGTGAATCAAACTACTTGATTTTTATGTCAAGGAAGTAAACAACAATCTTATCAGTCACCTGGAGAGGCAACTCTATTAGATGGTTTATTATTTAGTCCAAAACCATCTTCCATAGTGCATCTGTGTTATTTAACAATTATCACTGTTTCTCTGTATCTCTATTCCACGTCTCTAGTACACTAATACATTCAGCGCAAGCATTGTTGATTCTTCCATTTGTTGCTTTCTTTAGGCTGACTGAGCTATCTAATCATGTCTGAGAACTAGTAATACTTGTGTGAGAGACTTATTATGTGATAATGGACTGTTGGTCCATAAAGCCCAAATAATTTCACCCACCGAAATCCCAGCACATCTGCTGAAGGAAAATCCTGACTATCCTCCCGTAATCTCTCTCCGTCTGTCTGTCCCAACTCTTTTCCCCAATTTCGTCAACTTGCTTTTCTCTGCCCCTTCTAATTTTAATCAGGCATTCAGGATTATTCCCATTTTTCTACCAAGATGGAAAAAAATAGTAGTTAATGAACTAAATCTGCAAAGGTTGTCTGTCTTATTCAAGATTGGACCCTTTTCTGTATTGTGTGGCGAAATTCAGTGAATGTATTCGTAATACTGAATGCATGAACCTTAGATTATCTTGAGTGTAGCTCTTAACAACTTTGCAAATAAGTGTTGTTGGTCTTTGGGATTAGTTCCTCAATGAGCATAGCTTGAGCTTAAAAGGAAAACCTCATCAATGACAATGGTAGTGTAAATTAAAGAGTAGGTGTTGGGCTTATGGAAGAGGGAGCCAGGCCTTTTGTTTTTTCAGTCTTGAGGATTGTCTCTTCTGGTCACTGGACTCCTCAAGGGTGGAATTTTATCTTTAGAAGACAATTAAGTGACTTGGGAGATTCAGAGGGTAGCAAATTTCACCATTGGGCAATTTTTTCAACATCATTTGGTTTTTGTAGTGGAAAGGCAATCAGAAGGGAAGTTTTAAGGTGAGTTGTGCATACAACTGGTTGAACCATCTCAATCACCCCAAAGTCATTGGCCATGGAGAGGAATTGGAAGTCAAAAATGCCACTCAAAATGCCCTGTTTTGCTGGTTGTTAGCCAAAAAACTGTACTGACTCAAAACAACTTAATGAGGAGGGGGATACCATTATGTTCTAGATGTTTCTTTTGTGGGAAAACTGCTGACTACACTGGAAGATCACTGGCCAGCTATGATGTTATTCTTGAGTCTTAAGGGTATGTCATGGACCATGCCTGCCAAGATTACATAAGCAATTCAGAGTTGGGAGGAAGCAGGAAAGCAGTCCAAGAACAGAAACAAATGGAGAATAGTCCCTGCTAGTATGTGGTGGGCAATATGGAAGGAGAGAAACTCTGGAGCTTTTCAGTACAGAGAATAGTATGCAAAAAGTCAAAACTAAATTGTCTTATGCTACTATGTTATTGGTGTAATCAGTTATGCTCCAATGATACTATTGCCATAATTGATGTACTAGACTCAATTTAGGAAAAGATAGTAGGATTTTGGAGTACATGTTGTAAATATTGACAAGTACAGTTTTAG